TTATTATTATTATTATTATTGCATCGCGCTTTGTTATTAAATAATTATTAATATTATTATTTCATTATTATTATTATTATTATTATTATTATTATACGCGATATGAATCGATATGATCGTCTGATTGATAAAATGACGTGTTTTATTTGTAATTTTTTTGTAAAAAAAAAAAAAAAAAAAGAAAGTAAAACAAATTACAAAACAAAAATAAGAGATGAATATTCGAAAAAAAAAAATGAAAAAATGAAAAAAAAAAGTGGAAAGAAAAAAAACAGGACAAAAATAGTTTGTCTCATCGAGAAAATCTTTGATGGTCGATATTTTTTTTGGTCCTTCTCCCCTCCCCCCTCCCTCTCTCTCTTTCTCTCTATTTCCATTTCTTTCAGTTTCATCGATATAATAGTCGATGAGAGAGAACGCGAGGGGAATTTATACTTACAATTACGCGAGATGAGAGAAAGAAAGAAAAAGATAGAACAAAACAGAAAGAGAGAGAGAGAGAGAGGGGTGGATGGATGGATGGAACACGGGGGGGGATTTCAAATGGTTGTAGGAAGAAGTGAGGGGGTGTGGGGTCGAGGGAGACGTCGAACGCAGGTAAGACTTGGACGTAAGGAGACTCGAAAGAGATTTCCACGAAATTGAAATGGATCGTCGTATCGGGTGATACGAAGAAGAAGAAGAAGAAGAAGAAGAAGAAGAAGAAAAAAAATTTGTCGAGGGTGTTTGGGATGGTGTGAGATGGTACTGTGATGTTCTGGAAGAAGAAAGGGGTGTAAAAAAAAAAAAGGGTGAAGTCTACTACTTGGGGGTTTAGATTCTAAGATTCCCGTTGGATAAAGTACGCCGAAATAGACAAATAGTTACTTACGGATGTACCTTTGAGAGAATCAAACAGGTGGCGCGTTTAGTTGGGTTGGGTGTGTGAAAGAGGAAGAACGAAATTGTAAAAAAAAAGAAAAGAAATCAGATAAGATAAGATAAGAAAATAAAAGAAAAGAAAGTTTGGCGGATGTACCACGCCCCCGCAGTGTTGGGAGGATACGATACTCTTACAAATGTAACAATTTATTTTCATTACAGCGTTATTAGGAGTGAATCGTCGTAGGATTCGAACCCTCCTCCTCCTCCTCCTCCTCCTCCTCCTCCTTCTCCTTCTCCTTCTCCTTCTTCTTCTTCCTCTTCCACACCACCCTCTTGTACCCTTCTCGTTTATCAACGTGTGCCACGTGGTGTTTCTTTCAATGTATGTTTGTGTGAATGTGTTTTACGTTTGTATTAGATAGTCGTGAACGAATAGGAGTGGCACAGAGAGTTGATCGTCATCGATCCCTTAAAAGAACCGACTAAATTCCGATCGGACATTCTCCTTTCTATGGGTGTACGATTAACACAACACTTTTAGGCCCTAACCTTAAGCATCGGACTTGCGCTATTGGAATTTTCCTTATTCTCTTGACTCTTCTTCTTCTACCATTATTACCATTACCATCTTCTTGTGAATTATCGAATGGTATTTCCTAAGGTTAAATATAATACCAACATTTATATTCTATCTATGTATTTCTAACGATAGAAGATCACATATTAATTTAATATTATAATTTTCTAAAATATGTGTGGATTCGTATAAATAATTTTTTTTTTTGTTTTTTTTTTTTTTTTTTAGTAACATTTACTTTCTTCATCTTATTTCTCTTCTTCTTTTTTTCTTAGGATTGTCTAAAGAAAGAATAATTTGATCGATTTTTCAGTTTTAATGTTGAGATTGAAATAGAACTGTGTTACATAGTTACATACACCCTAGCAAGTTAGAAAGCTAGGAGAAAGCTAGCTGGATGTAAAAGGTCGAATGACATAGACTAAGAAATTGTTCAATGGTATTGGCCTAATGTAGTAGTAGTTGTAAGGATTTCTTGTGTCCTAGAAGCAGTTTGTCTGTTGAGTCGATTGCAACCAAGGAAGAAAGAAAGAAAGAAAGAAAGAGAAAGAGACTGTTTTTCTGGTGTCTGTATGAAAGAGAAAGAGAGAGAGAGAGAGAGATAGAGAGAGAGTGAAAGGAGAAGCCGAGCGAGGAACAGGAGGAGGAGGAGGAGTTGGAGGAAGAGGAAGAGAGAAAACAGAAAGCCTGCGGGGACTGAATTTGCATCCGGCAAAGCAACCTCGGACTACTTTATTTGATTGGT